AATTGTGTTAGAAAAAATAAATATTCAAAACATTACTTTTAATTACCCTCTTTTGTTATGGTATTAATATGTGAGAATTTATAAATAATTTTATAAAAAAATAATTTTAAAAAATTTTAAAGAAAAGTTTAACCTCAACCAAACACCCTCTTATGGATATGTCTATAAGAGAGTTCTTATCGACTTAAATTTAATTGAAATAGTTGAAAAGCGTATATTCAATATATTCAACATAAGTTCACAAATTTCCCCTATTAAATGAGGGAAGTTTTCACTTATCAATTGCAATAATACTCCTTGCAATTATATTTGGTAAATAGTTCATTAGATTACAAAATATTAACTATTAGATAGAGGAAATTTTCCATTATTAAAGAGTCTCTCATAATTTAATAATTAATTCTTTATTATTTAATACAATTCATATTATAAAATATTTTTTTGTATTTAATTAAAGTAATCTCAATTTACTAACCGATCACAATCCCCTCACTAAAAATGAGACTCGAACAAGGCTTCTTAACCCACAACTTGGTTTTGTCGATCCTACTTGTTTGATCCATGACATGGATAGCTTTATTCAATCTGCAAACCTTTAAAATGAGTGAACTTACTTGACCTGCAATTCATTTTGTCTAAACCATCCACTTTGTGACCTGATCTAACCCAACCCGATCCACACATACTTTCAATATTTTACAACCTACAAATACTTAAATCATCTTCTACAAGTTTGACCGTCAAAGCTGTTCGATTGAATACAAAAGTTGTGAACTTGCCAACGCATTTCCTTTTCAATTTTCTTGCCACTCATGGTGCCTTATCAATAATCTTTTCTTCTTCTTCTTCTTCTTTTTAACGGTAAGAGTGTACTTGAATAAATTTGTGCACATATTGAAACTAATTTCTCTTTGATCTAGTTAAAAATAAGTCATTTATAATAAAATTAGAAAATTCATGAAAAATTACTTTTTTATTAATTCTTTCAAGAAATTAAATTCTAATAAATAAGGTAAATAGTAAACTTTTTGTCAACTAAGCTATCAATACAATTATACTAACTTGATGCCTGAGGCTTGTCCGAAAGAGAAATTTTAAGTTTTTCAACACAAAAAAATTGCTTACACGGTTACACCTCACACTGCACGTTCGCACGCCGAGTATATATATAGACTTTTGTGATTTTTGCTGCTGTTACTATTGCTGTTGCTGTCTTGCTGATCACATCACCATTGGTCATGCTTCATGCTGCGAAATATCATTTTACTAAATATCAATTATAAATCACCAATTATTGAAGAAAATGCAGATGATCTAGATCTATAGTACCACCTTCGACGGCTGCTGATTTTTAGCTTATTTTATTTTATTTTTAATGAATTTACTCTATGTTGGATCCACGCTGGTTGCGGGATGCTGCCTGTTCAGGGGGTACTGAATGGGGATTCTTTAGTCAAAAGGACGTGCATCAGGCGCATCGCGCATGCATCGCAGTTAAAAACTATGTTGACATAAATGTACAGAACAATCATGGCAGAATGAATCGA